AAAACGAACGGTGTATTAGGATTATAACCCACCGACCTTGCACAAGGCAGCGACAATGACAAAGATTATGCAAATTAAAATGAACGGTGTATTAGGATTATAACCCACCGACCTTGCACAAGGCAGCGACAATGACAAAGATTATGCAAATTAAAATGAACGGTGTATTAGGATTATAACCCACCGACCTTGCACAAGGCAGCGACAATGAGAAAGATTATGCAAATTAAAATGAACGGTGTATCAGTATTATAACTCACCGACTTTGCACAAGGCAGCGATAATAACAAAGGACGTGTAAATAAACGGTGTCTTTACATATTCCCATCTCCAGCTAGCCACGTGAATACCGTGATTTTCATGATCCACTTCGTGTTTCTGGGCTTCCTGTGGTAAATACGTGCTGTTACTTCCGTTTCTTCTCCCACCTTCTTCCACGTTATGTACGGGCTCATAACTCTCATCAGAAGCAGGTTCGTTCCAGGATAAACGCCTTATCAAACGGTTTATCACTGTTTTACTTGGTACAGCACGCAATACTTCAGGATCATGAGACTTTTGGTGCTGTGTTGGGTGAGTATGATCTAAAATATGGGGGGGGGGAGATAACAAAATATCACATACAAAAATGGAAGCGAAAAATATGAGATTAATCACATCTTTCCTTTTAGTTGTTTTTATTAATTAATTACTTTTGTAGAAGCTGCATTAGAAAAAACATAACTCAGTGCTGGTGTCAGAAATACACGTAGGTTCAAGAAGTCTCAATACAGAATGATAAAAACTCAATAACCGGAAAGCTTTCGAAAGGTGGACCTTTCTTATCGTTTTATATTATGACTTCAGTCCTAGGCCCGGCATGGCCAGGTGGATAAGGCGCTCGACTCGGAATCTGAGGGTCGCGGGTTCGAATCCCCGTCACACCAAACATGCTCGCCCTTTCAGCCGTGGGGGCGTTATAATGTTACGGTCAATCCCACTATTCGTTGGTAAAAGAGTAGCCCAAGAGTTGGCGGTGGGTGGTGATGACTAGCTGCCTTCCCTCTAGTCTTACACTGCTAAATTAGGGACGGCTAGCGCAGATAGCCCTCGTGTAGCTTCGCGCGAAATTCAAAAACAAACAAACTTCAGTCCTAATAGCTTTGATAATTATGTAAACGTTTGATTCTAGTGTGGTTGACCTTACACCTTCAAAACATTAACCCCTCCAAAACAACAACAACAAAACATCACCTTTCACGTTCAAAACACGAAAACATTAAAGTTGGTTTTCTCATTATTTTCTTCAAATGAGTTCGGGATTTTGTAATTCGTAGTTTTTTTGTATAAACATTTGATTTTGTTGTTATACGCCTATCTGTATTTTCTTTCCCTTCGTCTAAGTGTTGAAGATACTATCAAATCAGGCACACGTTCTTTCCATTTGGTCTACCCATACTGTCGTATTAAATCGCAGAATATCAATGTAGCACATTTATCTCGACAAAATGTGATAACACTGAACTTACCGCAAGGACGTCTGGATTTTACAACCACAAAACGTTATTGCTGCTAAAATATTGTTGAGTTGCTAGAATGTTCTTGGATTTACGGTAATTAAAGTAATATTTTTTCAAAAGCTATCTGCGCACAGTCTTCCCTGATTTTGAACTGTAAGACTAGAGGGAAGGCAGCTAGTCAACAGCGTATACTTCCATTTCTTATGTGACCGAATAATAGTATCTGACTGTTAATCTTATGACGCACCTACGGCCTCCAAGTTTACAGTGCATTTTTGCGGCAATGGACCGCGAGCCCTGAACCCTTAGATTCAGAGTCCGATTACTCATATCACTAGACCATGCCAGGCTCGTGCCAGCTGATAAACAAGTGAAATCCTTTAAAAACTGGCAAAGAAAAGGGAATCGGTGAAAGTGCAAGAAGCAGACACCTAGTTTCTGTGTTTTGTGAGTAAAGTTGAGTTTTAGTTTTTCATTAGTTTCTTTATCAATATCGTTTGAAATTTTTAATACAATACATTTATTATTATTATTATTTATTTTTTATTATTAGAATAATTTTGCATCCGCAGCTTAGTATATAGGCTTAGGACTAACCTATTTCGAACCTCGTGAGATAAAATTGGGATTATTTTTTTAAAATTATATCTAATAACTCTTGCGTAGTCCAGCAAACTAGTTCAAACATAATATCAGTACCATCAAAAGAACCACAATCGAAAAAAGAATGAAATAACAACGTGTAAGCCTATATTGTTTTGTAAGATATACGATGATATTGATTCATATTCAAATTGAAATAACAACGTGTAAGCCTATATTGTTTCATAAGGTATACTATGATATTGATTCCTGCCCCCCCCCCCCGTGGCACAGCGGTATGTCTGCGGACTTACAACGCTAGAAACCGGGTTTCGATACCCGTGGTGGGCAGAGCACAGATAGCCCATCGTGAAGCTTTATGCTTAATTCCAAACACAAACAAACAAACAAAATTTTGATTCCTATTAAAACTGAAATAACAATGTGTAAGCCTATACTGTTTCAATGTTTTGTAAAGTATACGAGAATAGAGGATCCAGAATCAAATTGAAATAACTTAATGTGAAAGTCTATAGTTTTATGGCATTAGTTGGATTGAGCACATTCTAAACTTTACTACTCATTTCCTCCTCGCTCGAGAAAAATTATGTATAGTAGCCTGGAGTTAATAATAACAAAACTATCTTTTCGAAAATAAAATAGTTTTACAGAGAAACAGCCCAGCTGGGGCTTTTACTCACAGTTTATGTACTCCAGAATTAATTATTATATTTTTTGTAATTACAATGTTAATTAACAAATAAAGAGAAAGAGAAAACTACAACATTAAATGTCTATGTTTACACTTGAAGCACAACATTTATTTGTTTTTATAGATTGATTTTTAAAAAGAAATTTTATACATTAAACTAATGCCAAACGTGAAAAGAGTTATAATAACATACAGAGTAGAAGAGCATTTTGAATTTCACAAATAATCTCAAATATTGCATACAAACCTAGTACTTCTTTTCCGTTCCAAGGTTGAGAACTGGAAGTCGTTTCTGTAACATCCACAAGATGGATTGTGCCGACAGTCGAGTTCAGGCATAACAATTGTACCATCAAAATAACCACGGGCGAAAGAAGAAAAATCGTCGTCATAAAGAAGTCTTTGTTAGTCTGGGGGGTATTTAGGTCAGATAGGAAGGCTTCAAAGCTGAAAAAAAAAATAAACAATTATTTACAGTACACGAGAATAGAGGATTCAGAATCAAATTGAAATAACTTAATGTGAAAGTCTATATTAGTGCACAATAGAGTTTTAGAACGGCGTTTATGTTGTGTTTTTTCCTGTGATAACTGTGTGTTTGGTTAATTATTAATATTATTCAATAGTATTTAGTACAGGTGTAAATATGAACAGTAAATTTACGAGCTCAAAGGGTTGTGTAATGTGTAAGTGGCATATGTAAAACAATAAGACTGAAGTGGCATAAAAAATTTAAATAAAAAAATTCAATATAAATTTAGCCTCGAAAAATACTGCATTGTTCGTATTTTGCCTGAAGAAATAAAAAAGAGATATGACGGGACTCGAAACCTCGATTCTGCTGCTGAATTAAACGATTTATTTACTCGATAGTGCGTCATAAGTTACCCAATTCTTAGTTTTCCAGTCTTAGATATCATGGACTAAATTAAGTGAAATTCTCATGCTATGCTTGCTTTAATTCAAATTTATTGAGACATACGTACACTGAGTGGTCACAAGTAAATAGACACCTAATTTTTCGTCATTTAACTGATTTATGCTAACTAATTAGTGTTTACAGAGCACTATATAAATGAAAATGGTCCGCACACTAATCATCTTGTG